GCAAAGAATTCAGAGGTGTACCGCGTCATTTGTTTCATTGTATTGAGGCTGATATGTAAAAGAAATTAAATCAGGACATTACAGTGCACTAACTGATCCAAATTACACTCTGTTTCAGCATAAAAATTAATTCTTAATGCTACAAAACATTCAGCTACACAACACCGCTGCGGAACATTGTGAACAATTCACTTATTTGTTAAGTGATTGTTTCCAAAAAATAAATTGTCAGGATGCTTGTGTAGAAAACTTCAGTGTATTGGAATGTAACAAAGCAACAAGTCAGCGAATGATAACTTATATGGTGCAAGACACTTGTTTAAAAGACGCAATTTATTATTCATGTCAAACCGCATATTATGATGTATAAAAAAAATTAAGAATTTTACTTTGTTGCTATCACACCCTCTTCAGGCGTTGGTCTCCAGTTAATGAAGAAACCCAAGGTGTATGTAGGTAACTGGGGAACAGGTGCCAGTCAAGGGAACTAGAGCATGCATTCAGCTACTACAGATCACTAAGGACAGTCTGGATAGCACAGAAAAGCCCCTGGTTTTGCTTTTGTGGAGTTTAAGGAGCCTCAAGATGCTGAAGATGCTGCTTGTGGTTTGGATGGCAAGGTAATTGCAGCCCATGTGTTCGACCAGAATTATCAACAGGAGTGCCACCCTGCTCATGCCTCCAGCACACAGATCCTTTGACCCAAATGATCAGTGCTGTGAATGTGGAGAAAAGGGTCACTATGCTTATGACTGTTGTTGCTATAGCCAATGCAGAAGGAGCAGCTCCAGGACTAGATGGCTTTCACTCTCCCGGGGAAGAAGTCAGAAATCACACAACATCAGGTTTTAGTCCACCAGGTTTATTTGAAATCACAAGCTTTCGGAGTGCTGCTCCTTCTCAGGTGAAGGACACTGATAAAGAAACAGCACTCTGAAAGCTTGTGATTTCAAATAAACCTGTCAGACTATAATCTGGTATCGTGTGACTTCTGATTTTGACCACCCTAGTCCAACACCGGCTCCTCCACATCATGACAAGGAAGAAGGGTGTACCCATTCACAATGCTATAGCTGTGCCAGAAGGTCCAGATCTTTTTCTCCAAGAAGGGCTCAGTCAGTCTCTCCTAAAAGATTCAGGTCTAGATCAAGGTCACGGTCTGGATCCAGGTCTCTGTCGAGGCAGAGAAGCAGCTCTCTATCTCCCTGAAGAAAATCTAAGTCTGGATCACCGGTTCAAAGCCTAGATCACTTTCACCAAAACAAAGTTGTACACCATCTGAAAACTCTCATAGAAGTACAAATGCTGACCATAATGGTTAAGTTACATCGAAAAATTTTTAGAATGAATTTTTTTTGTTTTCATTCTTCAAAGTTGTATGGGAATCTTGATTCTTTATGGGATTTTGATCTGCTTTTAAACGTAAGGGCTTGTTTCTAAATTAACTTTTCATGCTCTTTTTCCCCCTTTATGAAAAATGTTTGGCGCAGGCCGGACATTTTTTGAGAGTACATGCTAAATCTAATAACATGCAATTATTTTCCCTGCATTACTGCGTTGTATTCTTATGTTCTTGTATCGGACTCCTCTCAGACCTGTTGAACTGTATCACATTTTTGTGTCTGGAAATAGAAATAAATAAATTGTCCTGAGAAAAGAGGGTGGAAATAGACTTCTGATGACTCACGATCCTCTGAGAGAAAAGATTTTGTGTCATCTGTTTTAAATGGGCAATATTTAAATACTGACCCTTAATTCTCAATTCTCCAATAATAGGAAACATCCTCCCTACATCCAACTTCTCAAAAACACCTCAGGATCTTTATATGTTTCAATCAATATCTTTCCTTCATTACACAGCACACTCACTCCAGGTAGTAGTCTGCTAAACCTTCCCTGAGATTCCATTTCATTTACATTCTTCCTTTTAATAAGGTGACCATCACTATATACAGTATTCTGGATGTGGTCTAACTAATGCCCTCTGCAATTGAAGTGTAACATCCTTACTTTTGTATTCAATTCCCCTAGCAATAAATGAGAACATCCTTCCAGCTTTCCTAAATACCTGTTTTTATGCAATGGGGGGCTCAGCTCTCTCTGCAATCTCTCACCATTTAATTCTTTTATCCTCCCTGCCAAAAAGGGCAATTTCACATTTTCCAACATTATATTGCATTTACCACATCTTTTGTCCACTCACATAAAGTTTCCATATTTTTATAGCCTCCTTATGTCTTCTTATTGCATTCATGTTTAACATACTGTTATCTCTTGGTAGATTGATTAATATCTCCCATGATGTATTTAGTGAAATGACTGTGGTATTGGCCCATGATGTAAACCAGAAAATGGCATTGCCATGAGTTATTGCAATAATTGGGTTCAGTTGCGGTTTGCAGATGAAAGCCTTGTCATGTTTATTTGGAGATGGAATGGAACTGATGTGAACTGAAACAACTGCATTTGAGAATTGTCAAATTTCAAGCATCAAATGCAAGGATAGAGAATGTTCATTTATTCCATATCATGTTTAGAAAGTTTAGCCATTCAGAATTTAACCTGAAGCCATTCATTTGATTTGGGTTTGTAATTTGTTAATGATTACAACTTAGTGTTGTTGAAGTAAAACTGTGAGTCAGTTTTGGGAAGTGTGAAACAGTGAAGTTTGCTGCTGGAAGATTTTTGTGCAGCTTTTCTTTGTTTGTAGAATCTCAGAATGTTCGATAGTGACACATCCTGCTCATTGTACTGGTGGTAGTTCTTTAACTAGTTCCAGTTAATTCCATTTCTTAATTCTTTTTAGTTCTGATGAAGGATCTAAGTAAATTATAGAAAGCTTGCATATGAACACATAGGTGAGGGACAGGAATAGGACATGTGGCCCTCTCCAACCTGCTTCACCATTCAATAAAATCGAACCTGATCTGGCTCCTCTAGATTCATGTCTACTCCCAAAAAATACATTTCACAAAGTTCTAGTATTAAGTCAGGCTCAAAGATTTGGGGCAACATTTTGGAATGAGTAAAAAATTTATGACAAAAGAAGATTGTTGGGAATTTTGCTGGTATAGGGTGGGTGGTTCTAAGCAGAGTGTCTCAAATCTTTTTTTTGATTGTTACCATTTCTTACTTAAGTTAATGTTTTGGTTCAGAAACTGATGTGAAATGGCACAGTTAAATGGGGCAGTGAAATCTAAAAGCTCAGCAAAAATGTTATTTGATTTTGACTATACTTACAATGTTAACCTACTTCATCCTTTGCAGATACCGAATGAACAGTGTGCTTTCCATTATTTTCTGCTTTTATTCCATTATCTAGCATTTCTCTGAATTCTTTTGTTGTCTATTATGACACATTCCTTTTTAAATGCCCGCATTTTGAAAAACACAGATACAGATTGTGTGCATGTGTGTTGGTGAGGGGTTAACTTTTTAAAGCTTTCCTCTTATTATGCTGCTAATAAGTCATAATGTATACTCTGAGCATCCAAACCAGTGGAAAAATTCTTTCACTGTTAATGTCACAAACTCTTATGTTTTAGAAACACTTGAAGAGATCTCTCTCAGCCCTACTCTGAGTTCTGAAGAGTAGTCATACCCGACTCAAAATGTTAACTCTGTTTCTCTCTCTACAGATGCTGCCAGATCTGCTGGGTTTCTCCAGCCTTTTCTGTGTTTGTTTCAGATTTCCAGTATTTTGCTTTTAATGCATGTTGTAACTCTAACACTTTCTGGATGATTTCCCTTGTTCTTTGATGTGGATAATAAATAATAACTTCTTCAAAAGTAACAAAGTATAAAGTATTGTGCAAGAGATGGGAATTTGTCTAAAATTGTATTCAAAACACCATTAAACTATTTGATAAAAATGTACACGAGGCACTGTTCGTACTGGGAGAGGCAACCAATTCTGCAATTTTTCATTTTGAAGTAAACAATACTTTCCCTTTGTTTCTCCAGAAATTTACTCAATTTCCACTTGATATTAAAACAGTATTTACATGTTAATAACCATACTTACATGACACTTCTTTTGCATGAGAATAACATTGCTTAACTCAAAATAAAAGAAGGAACTGCAGATGCTGGGAATCTGAAACTCACCAGGTCTGGTAGCATCTGTGGTGACGGAAACTAAGGGGGCTCGGAACGCTAACATTGCTTCAATTAACCAGATTCCTAATACAACTGCAATGTCCAGTTGACAGCAGCGTGTGTGCTTTAACTATAAATAACAAATTGACCACCGAATGCAATTTGCTCGGGACTGTGACAGACTTTACACTGTGTTATTGTTACAGAACTTCCCCGCATTACACAAGCAGCTCAGAGCACATCCTGCAAAATAATGAATCTGGTTATTGAAACATGTACTTCGATGAGCATGTGCTTGACTCACCGAGTAAATACTACAACTTGCCAAACACGTTTAGTTTACAATGCCATCAAAATCTCATCAAAAACAGAAATTGCTGGAAAAGCTCAGCAGGTCTGGCAGCATCTGTGGACAGAAATCAGAGTTAACGTTTCGGATCGACTCATTCTTCCTCAGGATCCTGTTTCAGGGATAACTCTGAATTCTCTCCGCATGTTCTGAGGGTCACTGGAACCGAAACATTAATTCTGATTTTCTCTTCACAGATGCTACCAGACCTGCTGAGCTTTTCCGGCAATTTCTATTTTAGTTTCTGATTTACAGTATCCACAGTTCTTTCAGTTTTTATTTATGCAAACAAAATTTCCCTGGAGGTGAAACTTGTTGAAGAGTTTGGAGTAGTTATGAGCAATGCATGCAGTGAGTAACTCTGCTCCTGTCCGCTCTCTGAGGATCAGTGTATGACTGCTCCGCTCTCATCCCAGCTCTGTGCTCTCTGACGCCCCACGCTATTACATGGTACCGTCTCAAAACGGGGGTGTCCAAAGTCACTTAAATCAAAGCATTTACAACACCAACGTCACTTATAGCTGGGAAATGATGTGTCACCTTTATCTTGCTGAATATCATAATACTTGGCGAAATTTCATGCAGGGGCTGTGTTGCTAACAATCCAACACTCATCTCTCGATCCTTTGAGATTCCGATCTCTCCCTTTCAGCTTCGCTTTAGCACATTCCAGCAGTTTGCAGCTTCTGAGACGTGGCAATGCTCTGTGCCCTCAGTCTAACTCAAACACTTTCTACAGGTATAGTTATTCAAACTACACTTGGGAAGAATTTATATAAAACCTCGAGTAATTATTAATGATTTGTAAAGTAATGCAGCTATTAAATTTACATGGTGATGTAATTTAGCTAAAAGTTTAGGGATGGTCTTACCGTTGAAATTAAACATCCGGAAAGTTTTGCCTTGATGGATGTTGACTTTGATTTATTTGTTCTTTTTCTATTGGATGCTTTATAAATGAAAGCGATTATTTTATATTCTATTATTACATTGAATGTTTTATATGGCTGTATTATTATTGTCTAAATAGCAATTTCTGAAACAGTAATTGGAACCAGATGCCGTTTTCAACGATTTTTAAAAACTTCACAAAGAAATTAGAGCAAGCGTTATAAATAAGTTAAAATGTATTTTCTCGATTGACAAACTAACTGCTTGAATTTGCAACCGTTACTTTTTTAATTTGTATGTGTGTGTTTAAAAAATGTTTTACAATGTAACAACCAACTTTAAAACAGTAAATACCAACCGTACTTACATCTAATTTCTCGGAATCACACGTCCTTCGACGGTAGTCCTGTCCTTAATTGGCATTTTACATTCTGCGATTTTATTTATTTTTACGACCATAGTTAGAGAGCAAGATAAACTAACGGCTTGTAGAACAGCTTAAATCCTGATCTTTTAATACATACACTATTCCTGATTGCAAGGAGCTAGATTAAAATGAAGATTAATGCTACAGTAGTGGTGATGGTGAGGGACCAGTTGGTGTTAAGGTGAGAATGGGGAGTGGTGACAGTATAGTTCTCTCTCTGGGCCGAAGCCGGCGCACCGAGGAATTTCCAGGCTGCCAGTGCTTGAGCACAACAGACTTCTAAGGGTGGCACTGGTGCCAGGGATCCCAGGATATCCCAGCGACGACGAGTGGAAGAATCAGACTAGCAACAACGAGCAGGGTGCCATAGTGGTATGGTGGGTAGTTAACGTGGGAGTTTCTAATGGTAGCGTGAGGAGAAAACTCTTCAGGCCTCATGGAAAGAAACCCCCCCATTAAACTGACTCCACGCCAATTTTCAAGCCACACCCAAGTTATCAGAGTTATCTACACATAGTAGTCAATCAGTTAACAGCCAATGGTGGGCATTCTGTGTTAAGTTTTGTGTAAATTGTAGGCTATTTCCAATTATCAAAGTTCTAAATTAAATTCAAGAGGTTAAACTTCATTTCAGTTGGAGATTACTTACTCACTACTTGGCAGAAAATTACCACTGTCATCAAATTCTCAATTCTCAACTCTCACCATTTATGATGCACACTGTTTATGAGCACTCTGCTACAATGGTACAAATGATATTACGTGTCATTAATAATATTTCTTATAATTCCCTCAGAATAATTTACGATTCTTTGCAAACAGTGTTAAAGTTGATGGAACACATTTTATTTCTGTGCAAATGATGATTTTGGGGATCCGGAATTACAACAACTGTTTATCCATGAGCTTTGAAGGAAGATCCCACAGCATGTTAAAGAAGCATCATGAACAGAGTATCTAAAGTAAAGCTACCAGAAATTTTCCAACTCACGTTTGCTTCTCTTCAAACATCTTTAGAATATTTACCGACTTGGCAATGGGTTAGTATTAATCATTCTTAATTCATTTGTTTTTACACCAGGATTTTACAGCATCCATGAAAATGTTTAGCACAATGGGATATCATCCTATAAGCAGACAGGATGAACAATTTCCCAACAATCTATGTTCTTAGAAGGTACGATTTAATTTAATAGAAACAGCCTGAGTAACAGCATTTATTTATTTTGTTCCTCCAAATGATACAAAGTACTGAATAAAACTTTGTTTTAGATACATCCCATAACTTACAATTCTTTGGATTTATAAATTGACAAATAATGAACTATTTCAACACCAATTACATTAAAGAGGACCATGTTAAATATATTGGAGCAAATTTTGTTTCCTTGTGAAAATTATGATTCAAGGAATCTAAAATGATTTGAAGTTAAGATGCCATCCATGGCCTGATTCACATTCAGCTTCTCTCTGAACATCCACTATTGATCAAGTTAAAAATCACATGACACCAGGTTATTGTCCAACAGGTTTATTTGAAAACACAAGCTTTCAAAGCTCAGCTCCTTCCTCAGGCATCGTGTGAGAGAGAAGGTATAAGGCACAGAATTTATAAGCAGAAAGGAAACAACCCTAAAACTGGCCACCTCTCAGTTAGGAAGGAGACTACTGATTAAAATGCAAAATCCAGGCCCCTCTCAAGTCATTGTCCCAAGATAATTAAAGGTTTTATCAATGTGTAGAAGAGGTAACATCTCAGGTTAGAAAATGCATTTTAGGTGTGAGGTCTTGCTTAGAATCTGTCTGTGTTTTAAACTGGGGTCAGGTTTTATGTTTTTGAGCAAAACAGAATGTATCATTTTTTTCTGAAGAAGGGTCTCGACCCAAAACGTCAGCTTTCCTGCTCCTCTGGTGCTGCTTGGCCTGCTGTGTTCATCCAGCTGTACACCGTGTTATCTCAGAATGTATCTGTGTATGTGTGTCTGTCTGTCTGTATGTGTGTGTGTGTGTCTGTGTATGTATGTGTGTGTGTGTGTGTGTGTGTATGTGTGTATGTGTGTGTTTGTGTGTGTCCGTCCCATCGTATCAGGCAATGGGACTTTGTGTGAGAATCTCTCTGACTATGCCGAGGGCATCTTGAAACCCATTGTACAGGGAACCTCCAGCTTCTGTTGTGACACCACAGATTTCCTACAGAAACTCAGCACCCACCGACCAGTTGGACCGAGAACCTTCCTCCTTACAATGGATATTTCGGCACTCTACACCAGCATCCCTCACAAAGACAGCATCACTACAACAGCCTCAGCACTCAATACCACCAGCTGCCAACTTACAACACATCTGCTTCATCCTCGACCACAAAGTCTTCGCCTTCGACAACCGGTTCTTCATTCAGACACATGGAACAGCCATGGGAACCAAATTTGCTCCCTAATATGCCAACATTTTAATGCACAGGTTCAAACAAGGACATCCAACCAACGCTATACACCAGATGCATTGATGACATTTTCTTCCTTTGGTCTCATGGCAAGGAATTACTGAAACAACTACATAGTGATATCAACAAATTTCATCCCACCATCAGACTTACCAGTCTCGTTCTTGGACACATTCTTTAGAATCAGTCTCACTCCATCAAGGACAGACACCTCAGTACATCACTTTACCGCAAGCCCACAGATATGCTCACAATGCTGCACTTTTCTAGTTTCCACACGAAACATATTAAAAAAGCCATCCCCTACAGCCAAGCCCTGTGCATACACAGGTTCTGCTCAGATGAGGGGGAACGTGACAGACACCTGAAGGATGCCCTCATAAGAACATGATACGATGCTCAACTCATCGATTGCCAGTTCCGTAGGATCACAGCGAGAAACTGTAATAACCTCCTTAGAAGACAGACATGAGATATGACCAATAGGGTACCCTTCATTATCCGGTACTTTCGCGGAGCGGAGAAACTACACAATGTTCTTCACAGTCTTCAACACATAATTGACGAAGATGAGCACCTCACCACGAGCTTCCTTACGCTTCCACTACTCCCTTAAAACAACCACCAAACCTTGAACAGACCATTGTTTGCAGCAAACCACCCATCCTTCAGGACGACACCAACCACACGACCCTGCCATAGCAACTTTTGCAAGACATGTCAGATCTTCGAGATGGACACTACCATCACACGTGGGAACACCACCTACCATGTACATGGCAGATACTCATATGATTCGGCCAATGTTGTCTATCTCATACGCTGCTGGCAAGGATGCCCCGGGGCATGGTATATCGGTGAGACCCTGCCGACGCTATGATAACGGATGAATGGACACTATGCAACGATCACCGGACAATGGGGAACACTTCAGGGGGTCAAGGACATTCAGCCTCCAATCTTCAGGTAAGTATCAGGTGGACTTCAAGATACACGACAACACAAAATCGCTGAGCAGAGGCTCATAGCCAAGTTCCATACCCATACGGACGGCCTCAATTGTGATCTTGGGTTCACGTTGCATCACAGATGACCCCACCACACACTCACACACATGCACATATACACACACTCCCTCACACAAACACACACACACACACACTTCATCCAAGATGTTTGTGTAGTTGCAGATGCATTCTGTTTCACTCAAAAAAAAGCTGACCCCAACTTAAAACGTAGACAGATTCTAAGCAAGACCTCACACCTAGAATGCATTGTCTGACCTGAGATGTCACCTCTTGTATACATTGATAAAACCTTAATTATCTTGGGACAATGGTTTCAGAGGAATCTGAATTTTGTATTGTAATCAGTAGTCCCCTTCCTAACTGATTAAAGATTCAACAAGAGGTGGTCAGTTTGAAGGTTGTTACTTTTCTGCTTATAAATCCTGTGTCTTAAACCCTCTCTCTCACACTACACCTGAGGAAGGAGCTGAGCTCCAGAAACTTATATTTTCAAACAAACCTTTTGGACTATAACCTGTAGTCGATTTTTTGACCTTGTCCACCCCAGTCCAACATTGGCATCTCTACATCATTATTGATTAGTGTGGAAATTAATCTAATATTAATCGTTCTTCTTTCCATTTGTTTTTATGTCTGGATTTTGTAGCATTCCTAGAAACCTCAAATAAAATGGACTTCATCCTAAAGGTGAAGATCATGGATGATTTGTGATTCTAAACATTGGCTTTAGAAGGTATGGTTTAGTTTAACATTCAAATCATTACGTAGCACAGGTGGACATGCAGCCTATTTTTATGTGTTTGATGTTCATTGTGGGAAAACTATTCAGCATTTGTTATTCAGGCTAGATCATTTGGATGAATATGAATGGACTATTGAGAGTCAGCATGGCTTTGTCATGTATAAATCACGTCTGGCTAATCTACTTTAATTAGTCACAAATAAGATAAACAAAGTATCTATAAACATTCTCCATACATACTTATAGGAATCACTAAATATGATTTCACACAAAAATATTGACAAAAATGAATGTACAGAGTTAGAGGCAGATTTTGTATTGGTTTATATCTTAGTTATGAGACAGGATGAACATAAGAACCAGGACCACGAGTAGGCCATCTGGCCCATCGAGCCTGCTCTGCCATTCAATAAGATCATGGCTGATCTTTTTGTGGCCTCAGCTCCACTTACCCGCCCTCTCACCATAACCCTTAATTCCCTTACTGTTCAAAAGAATTATCTATCTTAGCTTTAAAAACATTCTGTGAGGAAGTCTCAACTACTTCACTGCGTGGGAATTCCACAGATTCACAACCCTTTGCGTGAAGAAATTCCTCCTCAATTCAGTCCTAGACCTGCTCCCCCGAATTTTGAGGCAGTGCCCTCTTGTTCTAGTTTTACCTGCCAGTGGAAACAACCTCCCTGCTTCTATCTTATCTATTTCCTTTATAATTTTATATGTTTCTGTAAGATCCCCCTTCATTCTTCTAAATTCCAGTGAATATAATCCCTGTCTACTCAGTCTCTCCTCATAAACCTGGAATCAACCTGGTGAACGTCCTCTGCACCCCCTCCAGTGCCAGTATATCGTTTCTCAAGTAAGGAGACCAAAACTGCGCACAGTACTCCAGGTGTGGCCTCAGCAGCACTCTATACGGCTGTAACATAACCTCCCTGCTTTCAAACTCAATCTCTCTAGCAATGAAAGACAAAATTCCATTGCCTTCTTAATTACCTGTTGTACCTGCAAACCAACCTTCTGCAATTCATGCACAAGGATACCCAGGTCCTTCTGCACAGCAGCATGCTGCAATTTTTACCATTCAAATAATAATCCTTTTTACTGTTATTCTTACCAAAATGGATGACTTCACATTTATCAACATTATACTTCATCTAACAGACCTTTGCCCACTCACTGAAACTATCCATACCCCTCTGCAAACTTTCAATGTCCTCTGCACACTTCGCTCTACCGCACATCTTAGTGTCATCCACAAACTCTGACACACTGCACATGGTCCCCAACTCCAAATCATCTATGTAAATTGTAAACAATTGTAGTCCCAACACCGATTCCTGAGGCACACCACTCGTCGTTGATCAACAACCAGAAAAGCACTCATTCATCCCCACTCTTTACTTCCTGTTAGTTAACAAATCCTCTATCCATGTTAATACTTTGCCTGTAACACAGTGGGCCTTTATCTTACGCAGCAGCCTTTTGTGTGGCACCTTGTCGAATGCCTTTTGGAAATCTAGATACACCACACTACTGGGTCCCCATTGTTCACCACACTCATAATGTCTTCATAGAATTCCAGTAAATTAGTTAAACATGACCTGCCCTTCATGAACCCATGCTGCATCTGCCCAATGGAACAATTTCTATCTAGATGGCTTGCTATTTCCTCCTTGATGATAGATTCAAGCATTTTTCCCACTACAGAAGTTAAGCTAACAGGCCTATAATTCTCCATCTTTTGTTTACCTCCTTTTTTAAATAGTGGCGTCACATTTGCTGTTTTTCAATCTGCTGGAACTGCCCCAGAGTCCAGCGAATTTTGGTAAATTACTGCGAGCACATTAGCTATTTCGCCCACCATCTCTTTTAGTACCATGGGATGCATTCCATCAGGGTCAGGAGACTTCTCTATCTTTAGCTCCGTTAGCTTGCCCAACACTACCTCTTTTGCGATAATGATCGTTTCTAGGTCCTCCCCTACCTTAGTCTCCTTGTCATCAATTACTGGCATGCTATTCATGTCCTCCACTGTGAAAACCAACACAAAATACCTGTTCAATGCCTTGGCTATTTCCTCATTTCCCATTATTAAATCCCCCTTCTCATCCTCTAACGGGCCAATGTTTACCTTTGCCATGCTTTTTTGTTTTACATATTTGTAGAAACCTTTGCTAACTGTCTTTATATTCTGAGCTAGTTTACTCTGATAATCTATCTTACCCCTCTTTATAGCTTTTTTTTATGGCTTTCTGTTGACCTTTAAAATTTTCCCAATCTTCTAGTTTCTCACTGGTCTTTGCTACTTTGCGTGCCTTTTCTTTCAATTTGATAGCCTCCCTCAATTCCTTAGACATCCGTGGCTGATTACTCCTTTTTCTACAGTCCTTCCTTTTCACTGGTATATACTTTTGCTGAGCACTTTGAAAAATTGCTTTGAAAGTCCTCCACTGTTCCTCAACTGTCCCACCATAAAGTCTTTGCTTCCAGTCTACCTTAGCCAACTTCTCCCTCATCCTATTGTTTAAGCACAGGACCCTGGTATTGGATTTTATCTTCTCACTGAAAATGAGAATAAAGGCAGGTTATCTGATTGTCAAGATGTGGCAAATCGTCTTGCCCTGAAATTTGTTCAGAAGCCTCAACATGCCACAATGTTTAGAACCGATTTGGATGAATGAACGCAAAATTGAAAATCCAACTTTCTAAAACAAAAAGAGAAGGCACTTGCAAAAGGACATTGTACAGACCCCATCCAAAGTACTATGTTCACTTTCCAGTTCAACTCAGGAAGGACATGTTGGCCTATGAGGATTCAGAGTACAGTGCAGATTCATGAGGATGATATGGGGGTTTAAAGAGTTAAATTATGACAACAGGTTGCATAAACTTTACTTTGAATAGAAAAGACTGAGGTGGAATTGGATCAAGTTCTCTAAGTTAAAAGGATTCAATAAGGTTTATACAAGGAAACTATTCCCTCCAATGGGAGAATCAAAATTACATTAACATCATCTTAAATTTGAAATAACACTTTTACACAAGGGGTAGCAGAAATCTGGAATTCTTTCCCTTAAAACACTGTGGATTCAGGAACAATTCAAGTTTCAAGACTAATGTCAACAGATTTCTTTTTTTATCAAGTAATTATATCAAAGATATGGAGCTAAAGCAGTTGAAAAGGGTTGATTTACTGATCAGCTGTGATCTAATTGAATGGTGAAGCAGACTGAAAGGCTGAAATGGCTATTCCTCTACTTATGTCTCAATTTGAGAAAGTTCATTAATTTTATCAAAATTGTAGTAATTGTTAACTGCAATTAAAAATAGTGTTTTCCTGGTTAGTGTAACGTTAAGTTGAAACATTTCAGTAAAAATCCACATTAAAGAGGAGACTGTGGAAGTTGACAGAGCAGGCTGTTTTTCTCTGTGGAAATGATGATCTAAGGGATCTGATATTGTCTGAAGTAAAGATGCCATCCATTTCCTGATTCACATTGTGTTTCTCTCTAAATTTTCCTGTATCAGTTTGGAAATTTGTATGCATTATTATTTATTATTCCATCTGTTTTTCTGTCTGAATTTTGCAACATCCCTGGAAATCTCTGGGTCATAGCACATCATTCTAAAGACAAAGAGGGAAAGGGATATCCCAACACTTATGCGTTTAAAAGGTACGTTTTCCATTAATACAAACAATCTGAGGAACAGTGCTTATTTGTTCTATTCATTCTAATGATACAAAGCATCACTCATAAAATACTGCCATGGATGGATCCCATCATTTACAACTCTTTAAATTTATAAATAATATAACTTTACAATCTTTTAACAGAGTATATATAACAGCACTATCAAACAACAATGTTTCTGTTGTCCATGTTGTCTCCTCTTTGAATCCTAATAGGTGTAGTGCATTGAATTCAGATCATTATGTATGAAGTTACAATTTATTAATATGTTTAGAAGAGAGAAATCATATTTTGAAAAAATGAAGTTGTGGCTTTTCTTACTGTATGTCAGAATCTATTTAAATCAGTGTTTTCTTGTTAGTATGAAATTATGTTGAAACATTTCTCTAACACTGGTATAAAAGAGGACCACATTAATTATGTTGGAGCATGTTGTATTTCTTTGTGAAAATGATGAAATAGGGGATCTGAAATCATCTGAAGTAAAGATGCCATCCATTTCCTGATTCACATTCTGCTTCTGTCTAGACTTCTACTGGTATATTTATTAGTTCAGTAATTAGTTATAATTTTTTTTCTACATTTTACAAGATTCTTGGAAACCTAGAAGATGATGACATCCTTCGAGACAATAAGGAATTGAATTTGCAATCCCAACACTGCCCAATGTAGAAGATGATTTACATACATTAAATAAACATGCCCTGGAAGTAATCACCTTTATGTTTCTTGTTTATCTTTCCATCAAGACCCAAACATTTTTTAAGAGACGTGTTTTGTTTCATTTCAAACTATGCTTTTAAAGTGTAATCCAGTTCCTATTTCAAATACAGAAATCAGTACTGATAAAGCAAAATACTTTCTAGAACAGTCACATTGCTGAATTAACGGAAAAGTTTTCTACTTTCTGCTTGACTAGTTACAATGGGCTCATTGCCTGCAATATTAACTAGGCAGCAGATGTACATCCAACAAATTTCAATGCCTCTGTTTGCAGCGTTTTACTGCAGTCATCACCTCATTACCATTTTACTTCTGGTTTGGCATCAGTTGCATGGCAACAGATGTGCTCAGCAGCTACAAAGTGCACACACAGCCACAGACTGTAAAGAGCTGGTCCACAGCTAGGGTTGAAATGGATTCAGGGTTGGAAGCAAGAGAGGAACAAATTTCACATTGGATTCAGGACAGGTAAAGGCTGAACTCAGATTTAACAACAACAAATCTTTTTTGCGCATTTAACAGAATGAAATTTCTCAAGGCACTTCACAGGACTGTAAGTTTCTTGCTAAACTTTGAATAACCCTCAACTCTGAATAAGTTACTAGTCTAATGATACTACTCTATATTAATCCAGTTTTTTTCCATTGAATACAAAATTGTCGTTTTCGTCTTCAAACCCCTCATTGCCTCATTTCCCTAATCCTGCAACCTATGGAGTCTTAAGTGTCAATGTTTATCCATTGCTTTTTCAACTTTAGCTTTCTTTTTGTCCCTCTTTCAACTCTCTATAATCATTTGTGAGCTTTCAGCCATTTTATCACACACTCTGGAACTCTTTCCATAATAACCAGTGCTTTGCGAACATTTGTGTCTTCTATCTATTAACTCCACTGCCAGTGAAAATAGTTTCTCCTTAATTTCTTAAAACTCTGCATTGCCTTGAATGCATCTATTAAAGTCCCCAAAATCTTCTCCGTTGTGAGGAGAACGTCTTAACTTCTCAACAATTCTGAAGAAAGGTGACAGGACTCGAAATGTTAACTCAGTTTTCTCTACACAGATGTGTTTCTTCAGTACTTTCTGTGTTTGTTTGATTCAGATCGCAAGCATTCACAGTTCTTTGTTTTATTGCCCCAACGTCTCTGGTATTTTCATAAAACTGAAAACTTTCATCCTGATACTATTTAGTAAATCTTTGCACCTTTTCCAAAGCCTTTTCCATCTTTCTTAAAGAGTGGTGTCCAAAATTGGATACAACGAGATCCATTTTAATGTGTGCTAGTTTGGATTGGATTAAAATTGGGCCTAATATCTCCACTGAGGCCTAACTAGTGATTTGTAGCGGTTTAACATAACTTGCTTGTGTTCAATATTTGTATAACCCAGAACTCCACATAGTTTTTTAAACAAGTTTATCAATTTGATGTGCCATTTTTTCACAGATTTCCATACCAGAATTTTCTTGTTGCTTCTGTAAATAAGCAAGTTGCCAGAAGAAATATGTGTTTTATCACCACATACATGCATTTTAAAATTTATTCAGCTCAAATGGTCACTGGAAATAAACAAACTATCTTGGTTCCAGGAGCACACTGTGATAATTCTACTTTTTGTCCTCAGAGTTATAATTATAGATATTGCTTTCATTAGCTCTCAGATGTGTACACCGCAAAAATATTGAAACAGTGAATCCTGAGCTTGTATCAAATTGAAGACAATGTAATTGTTCCCCATTAGTTTATTTCACACTCCTTTGCATTTAATTCATTTGTACTGAAGTGAATATAAGTTTTTTAGTATTTCATACCCATTAGTATATCATAGCTTGAATCTTTATGTCTAAACTGTGCTATCTACGTAATAAAGTGAAACTTTTGTTAAATTGCACATTCGTATTTGATTTACTGTCCCTTAGAGTACGAGTAAAGGGCATTAGCTCCCTCAGTTCTTCTATTTTGTATGAATTCTTTCACTAATATTAACAATTCTCTGGGCTATGAGTGGAGTACAGACTGTACTATTTACAAGTGTCTTTGAAATCAATGAGCAGGTTATGTTTTGTTATTATTTGGTCCTGGGACTGAGATTAAAAGACAGGTTATTTTTGTTGACCTACTTTGCTGTAAAGCAGAACTGACGTAAAAATCAATACTTCATTGTAACTGGGAACAGTGTAATCCATCACACAAAAAAGTCATTGTATCTATTTTAAGAAAACAGTTTAAGTGAATTGAAGCAATTTCACAGATTCATCAATAAAATTGTTCCTAATTTCTGCAGTAGTGTTTGACAATGTATTTAAAATAATTTCAATGTTGGAAAACTGGTATAATGATGGAAAACCTGTACGTTTCATGTCTTTTAGTATGTTGGGGAGAGATCAAGAATATGAGAAGGGCTTGGTAATAAAGGAAAGCTTGTAGCGAAAAATACAGGAAACAACATTTAAACCATGATAGCCTCAGGTACTTTAAAAGATCTGACGAAAGAAATCAGTCCTCAGCACAGTCCAGAAATCAGTCCAACTTTTCAAATATGTACCAAATTCTTTCTTTATTTGCCTGATACCAGAATGCTCCAAGGAAGAGAGAAGTCCTCTCAATGTAAACTATTCTCTCCAAGTCTTCACTTTAATGGCCTTGTATTTCAAACTGAGTAAAGTACAATATAAAGAGACATGGTGGCCAGACCAAAGTGCATTGAAAATTTCTATCCTACCATTAGTTTCAAGTAATAATTTGTTTTAAAGTTGTTAATGGAGCCCAGCATTTCTTTACAATGGTACTTCTCCATCGTTGTATTACACATTGATGAATCTTCTAAACTGAAGCCTGTAGAACAGTAGCATTGTTTTTATTTAACCTATTTTCTAATCAACCTGTTTAGAGACATTATTACACACTTCTGGAGCAGCTGAGACTTGATCCCAGGCCTCCTGGTCTAGGGATGGGACATTACCACTGCACCACAAGAGGGCCCAACTGTAGAACTTATAGATCTAATAAAAGATTGATTTCAGGTTAAAAGCCAATAGATTGAATTTAAATAAAACTAAACTGTGGGCACAACCTTTCCCTGCTTGGAGATTGCAAGAAGAGGAACTAATTGGATGAACCAACTTTAGATACTCACCCACTTCTCGTAACCTCAGCAGTCAGGTGCTAGGCTAGAAGCTCGATTGAGGTCTTTCCTTGACTCACCAACAACTAAGGCTCTTGAGCAATCAATTTAGCAGCCACTTAAGGGCCTTAACTCACCACCTCCCTGCATGACATGCCTCCTCAGTACTGGGCTGATAACCAAGGTGAGGGTACACTCGTAAGGCAATCAGAGGTAGAAATGTGGATCAAAGCAGTGGCCTCTGAAAGCCACCGCTTTCCCTAATGGCAGGACACATCTCAACGTCAAGATCATCTCACTCCATCGTTTAGGCTTTTCACAGGCACCATAAAGACGTTCTCACCAGGCAGTAGCAAATTTATCCACTGACAGCGACATTGACAGTCCATTTTAAGGTCCTAGTTGACGGCCCATATCCCCTCATTAATATGTCATAGTTGTATTATCACATTGGATAGATATGGTCATTGCATGGCAGTTGTGTGGCGTAGATGTTGGTAGCTATTTATCAACCCAAGCCTGTCTGTTGTTCAGATCTTACTACATGCAGACATGGACTGCTTCAGCATTTGAGGAATCACAATTGGAGCTGAACATTGTGCAGTCATTGGTAATTATCACCATTTTTGACCATAATTGTGGAGAGAAGTCCATTGTCAAAGCATCTGAAGCTGGTTAAACCTAGGACATAGTGCTGAGAGTTCTTGTGATTACCGTGGTAATGTCCCTATCGCTCTGCCAGATGGCCCAGGTTCAAGCCCCATCTACTCCAAAGATGTAACATAGCATATCTAAACATGTTGATTACCAATGTCTGTAAGATGATTCACTAAATGTTGAATTCAAATAAAATATAGATATTTTTGTGATCTCGTGGTGGTTTGTCCTTACCTCTGAGCCAAGCGACCTGGATTCAAGTAATGACATCTCAGTACAGGTTGATTGGAAGAATACCTGCCCTGAGGTATTGGTGAGCTTTTATGACCCAGTGGTATTGCCCCTACCTTATGAGATCATAAGACAAAGGAGCAGAAGGAGGCCATTCGGAAAGGGTGAACAGCCAAGATCTTTTTCCTCAAGGTAGGGGAGTCTAAAACTAGAGGGCATTGGTTTAAGGTGAGAGGGGAAAGATTTAAAAGGGACCTAAGGGACAACTTTTACACGCAGAGAGTGGTGCATGTTTGGAATGAAGTCCTGGGGAGGTGATGGAGGCTGGTACAATTACAACATTTAAAAGGCATCTGGACAGGTATATGAATAGGAAGGATTCAGAAGATATGGGTGAAATGTTGGCAAATGGGACTAGATTAATACATCTGGTCGGCATGGACAAGTTGGACCGAAGGGTCTGTTTCTATGCTCTAGACCTCTATGATTCTATGCATTATTAATAGTTATTGGAGAATCCTTAGATGTGGAAAAAGTCTCAAAGGATTGGAAAACTGCTAATATAACAGCTTACTTAAGTAAAATGGAGTACAGAAAGAAACCGGTTTCTATAGGTTAGTTAGCTTGACACCTGTTATTAGGAACATGTCAGAGTCCATTATAAAGGATATAATAACAGGGCATTTAGAAAAATATAGTATGATCAAAGAGTCAACATGGCTTCATGGAGGAGAAATCATGCCTGACAAAGTTTTAAAGCAGGATAAATAAAGGGCAGAGTAGTGGATGTATTATATTTGGATTTTCAGAAGGCATTTGATAAGGTACCACACATTAGGCTACGGAATAAAATCAGAACCCATGATGTTGCCCATCGGTTATATATTAGCATGGTTAGAGGATTATAACTAAAACAAATAAAAGAATTGGGATAAGGGCACCATTTTCTAAAGACTCAAACAGGCTGCCTAGGGATATAGACAAATTAAGCAAGTTGGCGAAAGCTTGAGTTGATGCACTTTGGCAGCAAGAATACCGGAGATGAATATTATTTAAATGGAGAAAGATTGCAGGAAACTTCAACACATAGGGATTTGGGAGTTCTTGTGCATTGATCATAAAAATCTAGTGTCCCAGTTCAGGAGGTAATAGGGAAGCCAAGTAGAAGCCTTTACTTCAAAGGGAGTGGAATATAAAAATAGGGAAGTATTGCTTGACTGAATAAGGCACTAGTCATGCCAAAGCTGGAATACTATGAACAGCCTTGCTACCCTTATTAAAGGAAAGATATATTGGAATTGTAAGCAGTCCAGAGAACATTAACTTGACTGATCCAGGTATGGTGGGACAGTCTCATGAGGAGAGATTGAGTAGGTGGTTGTACTCATTGGTTCCAGAACTTTCCTCGGGTGCCCACGCCTGAGCCATCTCATGGAAATGCCCTTGGTTCATTCCAATTGCTGTAGAGCAGTTTCTGTATGGATTGCTGTTGCACACAAACCTTTTCTCATTTGTCTGCCACCTAGACATGCCTTGGCATTCCATTTTTCCTGCCAGGCAGCAAGGCTCCCCAGTGGAGGGCTCTCTAAGCAGGAATGTTCCTGCTTACAAATGGAGACCTTCATGGACTCCTAGCCCGACCATATAGTTCTGGTGCTGTGAAGTCAGTCTATCTTGTGTATGTTTGTTGTGGAAGGCTACACCTCCTGTAGAGTGAATTAACAGACTCTTCATTGTTCTTTTGGTTGCTGTGTGATTGGAGCTGGTTCGGTGTGATTGGAGCTGGTTCGGTGTGATTGGAGCTGACGCGGTGTGGTTGGAGCTGGAGTGGTGTGATTGGAGCTGACACAGTGTGATTGGAGCTGGAGTGGTGTGATTGGAGCTGGTTTGGTGTGATTGGAGCTGACGCGGTGTGATTGGAGCTGACGCGGTGTGATTGGAGCTGACGCGGAGTGATTGGAGCTGGAGTGGTGTGATTGGAACTGGTTCAGTGTAATTGGAGCTGGTTCGGTGTGATTGGAGCTGATGCGGTGTGATTGGAG